CCAGCTGCAGGAACCACATACCACTGCGGCCTGAGGCAGCCCTCACCTCTACAGCACCTGGCCCAGGACCAGGCATCTAACAGGCCTGCAGGCTCCAGAACTTCCGGGCTGAGACACCTGGTGCGCCAGGCTACCTGCGTACATGTGCATGTTAACAAAAAGAGTAACGCACAGGTCTTGCCCTTGAAGGGGTCACGGTGTGGCTGGGGAGGCGCTGAAGCCATCCTGTGACAATCTCCTAATCCCTGTTCCCGTCCCACCCTGGCTCTGACCTGGCACCCCCACCCTGCAGTCACACGTGTGCGCACAGCTAGCCTCTTCCTCACCTCGCCTCGGTCCCCTGGGCCTGTGGGCAGCCCTAGGCCTGGCCTCTCTGGAAGAGCCGGCTTTGGGCTGGACCCAGAGCGCAGCATAGAAGTTGCAACCTTAAATGGAATGAAAAGCTGTGTGGTCCTGTGCTAGCCCCATGGGCCCCCTTTCCCACCCCCTGCCTGCTCTTATCAGACCCTCCTGGTGGCAAGTCTATGAAATTTCCCCTGTGGGTCCCTGGACAAGGTTACTTGTCCTGATGTGTTTCATCGGCTGTTTCTGGCTTCCGCTGGGGGAGCCAGAGCAAGAGCGGTAGGAGCGGTGTTTGACGAGTGGCCGGAGAGCTCTGGCCGGCTGGCTGCTCTCGGCCTTCAGCTAACCTCTCCTCGGCGGGCAAAGAAAGGAGGATGCTCGGATAGGCCAGCCCACAGGGAACCAGGGGAAGAGCCTTGCTGGCGGGGTGAGGGGGAAGCTGGATTCTCCCTGAGCAGCTCCGCGAGCAGCGAGAGGAGCGCTGCTTGGTCCGGGTTGGGCAGCAACACCTCAGCACCCTGAGTGCTGTCTGGTGCCCAGTGTGCAGGGCAGACACAAGGGTCTTCGCGGACACAGGGCCTGTGACCGGGCAGCCCCGGGTGACAGGGCAGCAGACAGGCCAGATGCACAAGGAAGTGAGCTTGCTTTCTATGCCTCTGTCTGAGATCCCCTTTTCTCAGTGAATCTGGAGTCCTGGGTTATTTCCCAACAAAGGGTGACGCCCCTCGGTCTGGGGCATTATTTTTTCACATGGAACACATCCCTCTGTACAGGCTCACAGGGGTAAGGTGAACGATGACGCTGGTAGCTCAAGGAGCAGGGTGGCAAGGCTGGTGCCCCACTTCCCTTGCTCTCACTGGATGTGTTCCTGCCTGCCTTTCTGAGTCTGTGCCTTCGCGCAGACGTGACCTTAGCTGTGGTGCCACAGGGCTCTCAGTCCCTGCCCCCGCCTTGTCCCCATTCGTTCTGGTCTGGAACAGAGGCCCTGGTTACTGTGCTGCAGCCCAGAGGTGAATCCTGCCCTGGTTGTGGGCAGCCCCGCAGTTCACTCCAGGCCTCTACCTTAGGCTGCGTCCGGCTCCCTTCTTTCTCGTCTTTATGGAGCATCTATACCCTGCTGGGCGTTTCACAAGTGTTACCTTTCCTCCTCACAATCACTGTTAGGAACGACTTGCCCAAGGTCGTCGTCCAGTCAGAGCTGGGCTGGGAAGCTCTGAGTCCAGGCCTGAGAGAACTGGGTCACTGGGGAGCCACTCGGCCCATTTCCCACCTCTGCTCAGCCACCCCTGACCTGCAGCAGCGCCTCACCTCTGTGCACGGTCACCTTCACGGCTGGGGTCCAGCGGCGTGTCTGCCATTACCCCCAGGGCTGCTCTCAGGATGACTGCTCTGGCCTCTCTCTCCAAAGACACTGCTTAGGCAGGGGGGCCCTGAGGGCTTTGGACAAGAGTCGGTTTGACCAGGCTACTCCGGGACTCTCCCAGAAGTCAGCAGAGCCCCCCGTCCCGCCTGGGCCAGTCTCATGCTGAGCTGAGCTTAGAGGCTGTGGGATAGGATGCCTCCCCTTGCCTTACACGGACTCTTGCTGCAGAAATCACGTACAGCCTCGCTGTGCATCTGCTTCTCTTGTTTTCTTGTTGGCTGCCGGCAACGTGACATTTTCAGCTTTTACCACAAAAGGTTTCTGCTTATTTTATACTTATCTGCTCAGCGCTTTATGCTTTGGGGGCAGTTGAGATTCCAGGGATAAATGAGAAGTGGTGGGTGTTATAGGGATCCCTGAGGATTCAGAGAGCTTGGACGGGGAGACACATAAACGTGAAGGAATGAACGTTCTCCTCCATGCTAGAAATTGCAGGGAATGGCTGACCTGCATGTGAAGGACTTCATTAATAACAACTAAAATTTTCAAGACTAAATTCATTAAGTCCAGGCTTTTAATCTGTACTATAATTCTGTGGGGCAAATATAACAATTTCCCTCATTTACAGGTGGGGGTCAGAAGAGAGAGCTCAGGAAGGGTAGCTCGTCCAAGGTCACAGCCAGAAAGCGGCATAGCTGGGCTGTGCCCAGGTCTGACACAAGGCCAGCTCCAAACCACTGCGCCACACTCGCTCCCTGGGAAAGAGGGATCAGGGCAGGAGACTGCGTACAGCAGGAGAGCACCACCTCCCCACCCCCGCCCCCGCTAACAGGGCCTGAAGGTACACAATGGCCCCTAGGCCCCCAGGCCTATTAAGCTTGCTTGACAGCTGCCCAGAGCCAAAGAGAAAACATCTGTATCATCACAGTCCATCTGAAACTCACGCAGCATTGTGTTTTTCAAAGTACATATTTTATTTATAAAGAATAGTGCAAGGTGAGCACGAATAACGTTTCTAATCCAATTTATACAGCATCTTGTGCTGGTTACTCGCTCTGACCACGGGTGGCAGCGGGTAGGGCTGGCCCTGGTAAGGGAAACGATAAACATTTCTGTGATTTGGAAGCAATCTAAAGTAAATGAGCCCAGGGGACACCTTTTTTTCTCAACAATGTAATCCCCAAAGCACAGACAGCATCTCTTCCTTACAGGCCGTGGCGTTGGTGCAGCAAGGTTCTGAGTTCTGGCTGCATTTCTGAACTTTTGGCCCAAGTCCTACCAGCCCCAAGGTTTTCCATGGCAACAAAACAAGGATCCACTTGCCTTCTTATTCCCTTCAAACCTTTAAAACTTTAAAGCCCAGAGTATTCCTTTTACTCCTGCTTTTTCCCTGTCTCCCGGGTGTCCCTGGGACACACCGGGCCAACCGGCCAGGGCCGGGCTGCTGCGCTTTCTCTGGGAAGACTGATCGGAATGTGCTGGCATTCCCCGCCCCAGTCCAGCTTTCCAGCCCCCGTTTAACAAAAAACATTGCAATGCAAGGGTCGCGGTTTCTTCCATCCCTTCGTCAATTCACTCAGGCACGTAAGATTTAAAGGCACTTGCCTCCCATCTCATTAATATGCCCTCAGCCTGTGGTGACCAGATCATTACCTGGGGTGAGAGAGAAACCCTTCGGGCCGATCTCATCTCCTGGATTCTGGGAGTATGCCTGATTAGACTGGGCGCAGAGAACGGGGACCTTGTCTCCCCATTCACCCGCTGGACTGGCCCTCATCTCATTCTGCAGCCCGTGTTGAGCTCCTCCCTGGGAGCAGAGGCTGGTCAGTAGGAGGGAGTCAGGACACCTTCTCAGAGAGGACCAGAATCACTGGGGAACCCCGGACTCACCCTGTGGGTCAGGGTTGGCTCTAGCCTCAATTTTTCCAAACACAAAGCTTCTGAGACAGAGGAGATGGGCTTTCTCAAATAAGTGAGTGAACATCTTTGTCTCTGCCCCTTTGCTGCCCCTCTGGTCCCAGGTTCTGCTCACATACTTGCTCCTGAATCATCCATGTGCTCTCTCACTTGCCTGGGTAAGTCCTGTTCCTTAAGTGATTCCCATCATTCCCACTGAATTAGACTCCAGCTTGGAATCTGCCTACCTTTCCCTCCTCACCAGCTGTCTGATCAGCTCTGGGAACCACAGACTCCCCCATACCTCCTCGGGGGCCCCCGGTTCAGCCCGGAGCCCACCCGGCAGCACCCATGGCAACGGGGCAGTGAGAACACTGCTGCGGTGATGTGGGCTGAGGCCACGGTAACAACGCACTCTGTGGCAGCGATTCAGGTCTATTGGGCAGAAGCAGGAGAAAAGAACAAAATGGCTAAGGAGAGCTAGAAAAAGTCTTTCTACAATAAAATTCACACTTGGGTGTCCCCAGGGAGTGACACTGGGAAATCATTTGCCAATGCAGTGCCTTGCAAAGGTCTACTCAAAGACTAAATTAGCGATGGCCTTTCCTCACTCCCAACCAGAAGGCGCGCCGGGTTCATGCCTCCTGACGCATGTGCGGGGCCAGGAGTCCGACAGCAGTACGTCCGACTTCTGCGCCTGCTCCCAGCACGGCGACTCGCTGGTCTTGTGGACATAACACGCGTCCTCCACAATCTGGGGGGACACAATCTGGGTCCGTCAGAACCTGGGAAAGGGTTTCTTGGTATGTGTAAGGATCTGAAACTTGCCTTCAAAACATAGAGCTTTCTTTATTCAGAAAACATTTAAAAACAAATCACTTTCTCCTACAGCCCTCAGCAATTAATTTTTTCTTTATCTGTTTCGGCCGGAGGATGTCCTGAGGGCACCGCAGTTTCCAGCCTCTGCGGTGCCGCCTTCTCACCCGCGGAAAGCACAGGCCGGGCGGTCTCCTTCAGTGGGTTTCATCTGGTGTCAAGGGGAGAGTCAGAGCCATTTCGCCACTCGCAGATCAAGAGCTCTCCGGGTCTGACAGCTCCCAGGACTGCAACCTTAAGGAGAGACAGCCGACCTGGCAGAAGCAGTGAGGGCGGCCTGTGGAGGCAAAGTCTTAAAGGTTTGAGCACCATCTTCTGGTCAGTTTTTGGCTTTTGAGGCTGACCTGCCTTAGAAAACTTCATTTACTTCAAAATAAAGATCCCTGAGCTGACAAGCTCAAGTGATTTGCATATCAAAACAAGGACACTCTGGAGGCAGGAGCGAGTGGGTGAGCTGGCCCAGGCTGGACCGTGGCCTGCACACAGCCGGCTAGGCAGCCATCGGACGGCTAGGCAGCCATCGGACGTGCTGGGCAGTATGAGGGGTCCGCCTTCTACCTTTCCAGCAGTGCCAATAAAAGTCCCTACCATGACCAAAAAGCGACCTTTTGCCCCTGCTTGCCCCTGGTGATGTGAAATGTGCTTAGAAAGAAGGGCTGGGCTAGGCTTCCGCCAGCCTACAGCGGGAGGGACTGTGTCAAACTGGGTACCACCCTCCGCAGGGGTCAGGCCCCACGCTGAGGCTGGGAGCCCTACCTGTGTGTAAACACTGCACCAGCAGACTCCTACCTTCTGGCACGGAGGAAAGGAAGATAAATGCTAGTCATTCCCTCCAAACGCGGGAACCTACATCCATCTAATTGCACTTCATAATGGATTCCACAAACCATTAATTATCAGATTATATGATAGGAACTGAAGATAAAAAAGCTTTGTGGCATTCAGACTCCAAAGGATCACTGACCTGCGGCAGCGGTGGCAGCCTGGAGAGCTCAGACGGCAGGCCCCTTGCACAGCATGGGAGACGGCAGCGGGAGGCAGAGCCGGGGCAGCCACTGGCGCTACTCCTCCTGGCACTGCTTCCCCAGCTACAGCACAGGCTCCAGCGGGAGGGGCAAGGCCCCCAGGCAGGGTAGACGTTGTAGGCGTTGGGTAGGGAAGGGGACGAAGACAATGTGGAGAGGCTGCAGGAACCAGCCTTCGGGTAGAGAAGACCACGAAGAGCATCCTGAAGGGCCCAGACTGCACACATCTGGCGGAAACACTCCAAAGGCCTCGTTTCTGGAAGGGCTGACTGTCCTGATCAGGTGGCACTCCACGTGTAAACGGCGCACTCCTGCGTTAACATGCTGCCACCTGTCCTCCCGCCACCACGAGGGAGCTGGGGGCCAGGCGACCCAAGCAGCTGAGAGGATGAGAGAAGTGGGGAAAGGGCATTGTGTGCTCAAGGCTGGGCGGGGGTGGGGGTCCCTGGATGGTCTGTGGGTGTCTTTCTCTCAATTTTAAATGGCCAGAGGCACTGACAGTGTCTGCAGCCCCACTGCGTGGGCTGTGGTCCTGCATCTTCAGCTCCGCGCAGAGGGCGCCGGCACGCGCACCTCTCTGATTACCGCAGCTCTTCGGCTTCAGAAGCTGTCCTCCACTGAGGGACGGCGGTGTCACAGGGGCCACGGTGGGCCTGGGGGGACGTCGGCCTGCCTGCTACGGAGGGCGGTGGTGTTGGCGTCGAGGACTCAGTCACTGGCGGTTCGATGGGAACCAGGACTCGTCTCCGTCTGTTTTCCAAGTGAGACCATTTTGGTCGGTGCTAGGCTAAGATGCTCAGCACTCAGGACAGCCGGGGACGAGGGGCAAAGGGCAAGCTGTGGAGCTTTCTCTCTGCTGCAAAGGCAGGACCCCATCGCTGGATACGCAGCCGCTCACTTGGCCTCCCCACAGATCAGGGTCACGGTTCCATCCAGCAGATCCTCCACGGTCACCGCCACGAGCTCAGAGCTGGTCTGAGATGTCTGCGAATCTGGCAGTGCCACAAACACCTGTGAGCCAGCAAGCTGGGTCTCCTCCAAAGTGATCACCTGCTCTGTTGAGGCCACCGGCGGCTCTGGGGTTTGGATCACCTGAAAGGGAAAGAGCGCGGGGCTGCTCTGGGCAGTGTCCACAGTCAGCGCCCCAGCATTTACATGGTGTCCATCGCATGCTGTAATGATGAGTTATGTGTTCACCTGAGGAGAGCAATTACATGCGCCTAACGGGAGGAAGGAAACCTAACACCAGTGATGCAAAAGAGAAGGCAGACAACCAATTTAAATGACTGCGCGCTACGCTGCTGAAACTGGGCTCAGTGTGCCGTCTCCGGGTACTCGGACTCTGATCCCACACCAGGGAGTGTGGGTTCAGTCTCTCGCCGGGTTTTCCCGGCTCAAGGATTACATTGCCGAGGTAAGGGCCACATGACAGGAATGCTACTGAAGGTGGGCGGCTTCGTACTAGAACCACGGGAACCTGGATGATTTGCCAGAAGCCCTGACTTGCCCAAAGTGGTGTCTCCGGACCTTGATCAGGTTAAGAGCTTTCTTTGGTGGCTACATGGGTATGGAGCGAAGGCCACAGGAGGGAGAGCAAGGGTACAAAATGTGACTTCTGTCAACTCACTCGGTGGTCTCACCGGGCTGGCAAGACTGGAGCGCCTCTCCTCTCTTCCACAGGCCACGCATGCCCCTTCCAAATCTGCATCTGTTAAAGGGGACCTTCCCATCTCAGGGAGAACTAGTCTGTGTTTAAGTACAGCCAGTTCCTGCCTGAACCTCCATGTGATGTTTCTCAACTGTGCAGCTCAGGACAGCTTGATGTCCCCTGATGTTTTCAAACCAGAGTGCCCACAGGGGGCAGGTACAGGCAGCCTGGCTCTTGAGAACTGGCCAGGAGTGGGGAGCAGGGCACTGGGCACGAGTGGGCAGGAGGAGGGAAGCCAAGCTCAGCTCCGTCTCTGTGCTACTGGGAGTGAAGAGACCAACGGTGATGTTCAATCAAAAGTCACCTATGAGAGTGGCTTTCAAACTGTGTCTTCTTTCTCTCTTAGCAATGGAATCCATTTTTTCCCCAAAGGACCTCTTAGCAAGAACCCTAACAGAGAAAAAGCTAAAAGGAGAGCTGTCTGCGGATATGGCAGGAGAATCACCCAGAGGCCTGCCTGCCTTGCCCTCTGCTCCCCGGAGGCCGCCGCGCACGGTCTGTCCGTGACCATTCCCGGAGGCTGGACGGCGGACAGGCAATCAGCCTGCAGTCCCTCTTCTGTCCACCCAGAAATCACTGCCAGCCTTCCAGGGACATGGAGGGGCTGCAGCAAGCTTAGCTTTGACACACATTGGGAGAGGAAGCTTCCCACCGGGGAGAGGCGAGGCCCCACGTGCCCACAGGTGTCCCGTGCCCAGCCCGGAGGAGCTGCCAGGGTATTGGCTGAAGGTGTTCCCGGCAAAGAGCTCACGTGCCCCTCCCCGAGGTTTCCCACAACTCTCACCAGACCCCAGAGTGCGTCATAGGAGGTGGGAAGTGTGTGAACAGGGAGAGGAGCCAAGGTGGTTCCGCTGTTGGAAATTCTGGTTCTAGGCTCCCACTGCTTAAGGCACATTCCTCATTTGGCCACCAGGACATGAGAGCTTTCTCTTCTGTTTGGTCAAAGGCCCCAAGAAACTCTTTTCAGGTCCTCTCGTGATGAATGTATTGCTTACAGGACCCTCCGAGAGTGCGAGAGAGGAGGGTCGGTACTGTGAGAGAGACCTCTGGAAAGGCTTGGGAGCCCCACGTCAGCAGCCTCCTGCCCGATGGCCCCAGACTCACCTGTACCACCTGCGAGGTTGCTGCTTGGGTTTCAGGCCCCGGCACCTTCGGGTGTTCGGATTCCAAGTGACCCTCCAGCTGGGCCTGGGAGGTGAAGAGCTCCCCACAGAGCTCGCAGGGGAAGGTGCTCTCCGACTGCTTGAAGTGCTCCGTGGTGACGTGGTGCTGCAGGGCTCCGGGGAAGCGGAACGTGGCCGCACAGTACAAGCACCTGAATGGCTGCGACCCTGGAAGAGGGAGACACAAGGGATGGGCTGTGGGTGAAATGGCTGAAAGAAACAAGAGAAGGGAGAGGGGACAGGAAGGAGCAACGAGGAACACAGTTCAAAGGCAGGCCCAGGTTCCGTGGGGCTGAACCAAGCTTCCCTGAGCCATAGCTTCAGTGGCACCGGGTTCAGGCTGCATCCACCTCCGCCAAAGCCCATGACTCAGGTAACTGCAGGTAACGATGCTGACGACACTATGTTTCATTAATTCTAGGCAGCAAATTTTAACAACTCTGGAATGACTCCAGTGCCATCTTAGGGCTGCTATGGCGAGGTGGCAGCGGGGCACAACTGTCAACGACTGCACTTACAGAACACTGAAACCTGATGAAGTCCAGCATCAAGACCTGCAGAAGGCGTGTCTGGGGCTTGGAAGAAAACCCCTAAGATGGGCATGGGGTGTGCACATCTTTAACTGACAGGAACCCAAAGGTTTAGCAGAGAGGCCAGAGGTGAATGTTCAGGATGTTTGGACATCCCCAGAGCAGGAAATCACAAGTACACCAGTTCCACACGGCGCTCAGCAGACTGAAGCCAGGGCCTCGCTGCTCTCTCCACTCGCACCCGGTGCTCTCAACGGCAGTTTAATTTAACACCGCATGGGTAACACACGCGTTGGCAATCTGAAGTGAAAGTGACTGAGAAGCTGGATCCTTACCTTCATTTATTTCCTGTTTTCCTTCTTATGTATGCACACCAGAGTGCATAAACATCTATGTCAAATTAAGTCCAGAACAGCCCTAGAAGAGCCTGTAAGTTCTAAGTGACAAAGAAGCATAGTTTTACTGGTTCATTAAAAAGGGTGCGTCTTGTAACGGGCACTTTAGATTTGCTGAGACCTAGCAGTAATGATGGTAATCACAGAAAACGCTCACAGGATACTCGCTGGTGCCAGGCCTCTACGTGTTTTCTGTCTGCTAACATACTCAGTTCTTACAGGGTGAGGTAGGAATGACAACTGTCCGGTTTTACAGATGAGGCACAGGTAGCTACCCAGCCTGGCCTGCAGATCTGTGGACAGTGGAGAGGAGACTCCCCGCCGGGCACAGCAGCTCAGCAGCATCGCCGGGGCACTGACCTGAATGCTGGCACTTGATGTGAACTTGAAGCAAGGCTGGCGTGGGGAAGAGCTCCTTACACTGGTCACATTCATGGAACTTCATATCTGCGAAGCACACGAGGGAAGAAGTGGTGGGACAGAACAAAATGATGGCTCTGCGAGGCCGGACAGTGAGCACCAGGCTTGGGCGGGGGTGCCGGCCAACCCTGAGCGAGCACCCACAGAGAGCCAGGGCCCTGCGCCCACGGCGCATCCGTGTGCTGTAGTGGTAGAGACTCCAGGCCTGGATCCAGGCTGCCTGGATGCAGATAAGGCTGTGAGGACTGCACAGCAAAGCGCACGGGGAGTGCTGAACACAGGGCCTGGCATCCAGGAAATTCTTCACAACGGCTGGCTGCGGTGATTACCCTCCAATTTACTTGCAAGGCACGGATGAGTTACACAAGAGAAGGAAACAGGCTCAGAGAAGTCACTTGTCAAGGTCATGCTGCTGACCAGTGCTGCGGTCTGGATTTCCACCCAGACCTGTCTGCCACCAAAGCCGCCCCCTTCCAACGTACAGTGACCGGCCGTCACTCGGGCTGGTGGGAGCTAACACCGACCGCCTGAGGTGTCTGGGTTTGACAACCACCGCCCCTCAAGCTGCTGCCCCGGTGGGCCTGGGACCGACCCTCAGGTGTGCTGGGGCAGAACAACGGTCGCTGCCATCGCGCACTGCACTCCGACACTGGGAGCGGGGATTCTGGGACGGAACCTAGGATGCCGTGCCGCTGAGGCGCCCCGGCTCACCGGCTCACACTCCCTGCCGCTGGCTCCCAGCTCACCTGCGTGCTCTGTTTTGATGTGCTTCTTGTGTTCAATGGTGTTGGAAAAGGTTTTGTCACATGAGCTACACTGGAGTGATGAGAACTTAGAAGATCGATGGTTCTGAGCAGCAAACACATCAGGGTGGTGGGTCCGGTTGTGGTACCACAAACCAGACAATTGCTGTAAGGAATTGGGCAAGTGTTAGGGTTTGGAATGTTCCAGAAAGCTGGAGAGCTCATAAAGCCCTCAGGCGAGAGAGAAAGACATTCTCAGGTGAGCTCACGGATCCAGAATCACACTCTGACCTCTCACATTGACTGCCGACGTGACAGAGGCTAGTGTTTGTGGGAGCAAGGCACCTAGCTATTTCCTGAGAGGCCACCATGGGACGGGGATCAGCAGAGAAACTCGCTGCTCACAACGAACCTGGGAGGGAGGAGTCAGAACTTCCCAGGGAGGCAGAGGCTAAGGCACAAAGGGGTAAAATGACTTGCTCAGGGTCACGTGATTAGTAAACAGCAGGAACAGGATTCAAATGCTGGCATCTGTTCTTCACCACCAAGCTGTGTCTCACTGCTTCCCAGAGGCTCAGGGTGCGACAGGGCGCACACCGTCCCTACTCAATAGGCAAGCGCCCCCCTCCTTCCTGGGCTCAGAGCAGCATTGGGACACTCTCCCTACAGGTCCATGGTTTCCTAGGGACTAAGCCCAGGTCCTACTCAGCTCTGTAACTCAAGTGTCGCAGCACAAGGCTTGGTGCAAAGTTAACTCTCAAAGTTAATGTCCCCAAGAGTGCAGGTGGACTTTGTTGAAAACAAAATTAGCTACTGTGCTTCTTCTTCTAACCCAAATCTTACAGATGTCAGTCAGGACCAGTCTGTTCTCTGTGGTCTTAGAGTTTCTCATAGATGTGGTTTCTTTTTAGTTCTATATGGGGTTTCTTTTTAGTTCTATATGAGGTTTCACTTAAATTACATACCAAATTCTAAGATAAAAAAGCAGAGCCCTTCCCTGGGAGTTAAAAAAAAGTAATTGTGCTAAACAAGAGAATTCTAGGCAATGTTACGCACCCTACTGCCATTTTGATGTCCCTGGACACATGGGGTCAACAGGTTCTGAAGAATGTGAGGACCCCGGGGGGAAGCAGCGTTTGGTTCAGAGGTGTGAGGACCGCTCCAATTAGAGCTCCCCCACCGCGCTACTCTGACCCGGCCCCCGAGGGAATCTGAATGGTGACATGCCACATCTTCATGAGAACCAGCCAAGTCACCATCTCTGCAGATGAGATGTGCTCTACAAGCCACAAAATGGGAACCAAAGGTCACCTGGTAGGCCTTGTTGCAGATCCCGCAGCTGAAGGGCTTCCCTCCCACGTGGGTCACCATGTGCCGCTCTAGCATGGAAGGGGCGCTGAAGATCTTTCCACACGTGGGGCAGGGGTGGTACTCCTTGGAGTGCACCTCGTGGATGTGCTTGCGGTGGTCCTGCAGGGTGGGGAAGCTCATCCGGCACTTCTTACAGTCGTAGGGATCTTCGATGTCTGGTTCCACGGAAGAAGGGGTGGAGAAAAAAAACACAGGCAGCTGTCAGTGAGGTGTGGGCGGCTGTGCACAGCTCCACATACAAGGCTCTGTGTAGAGGTCATGCAAGGTCACAGACTCCAAGGACCAGAAGTCACTACAGCGATCACCTGACTTCACCCTATCTTCTTCACGGGAGGTCAGTTCCTCTGAGGCTTCTGGATTAACCACCTGTGCATCGAACGGTTCACCTCAATTCCTCATTTTATATCTTATAAGTTAAATTCCATTTTACTGCTTTCCTAGGGAGTATTGCTCTTGCTCTTCCCCTGCTTGTAGTGGGCATTTCTGCTTCTAAATCTCTATGGAGATTTTCAACATACTCCCCAGAGCATCACTATTTCGTTCATTGCCAGTCACATGAATGACAGGAATACTCCCTTGCTCCCCACTTCAGACTTAATAAGAACGCTCTCATAGGTAATGTTTAATGAGCGCCACGTGAAAGGCACATTCTCAGTGCCTTACATGTATTAACCCACTTATTCCTTTCAATAACCCCATGAGTGGGTTCTATTATCAGTCCTATTTTATAGACGAGGAAAGTCAAGGCTTAGAGAGGTGGCAGAGGAACAAGGAGGAGGTGGCTGAAGTAGGTAAGAATCCCAGCATTCATTCCCAAGGCCACGCTCCAAGCTACATGCTTAATGAGACACGCCACCTCTTCAGTGGGATCTCAAAAATAAGAACTAGCGGGATGAAGAATGCATTTGCCATCCCTATGGCAGGAAACTTCCATCTTTTTCTGAAAACAACAGAAAGTGCAATGTTTTAATAATGAAATCCTTTGCCCACAAGAAAGGCACAGCCCACAAGCCAACCTTCTCTGTGCACTGAGTCAGACTAATTCAGAAACTCTGACACACAACAGCGCTCAGTATCATTAACTAGTTTCCCTGTGGACATGAGCTCTTGAAATCTCAGTTTTACATTGTCTTTTAAGACCCTTTGAAGGAGTCCTCCATAAGCAATGATGTGGTCCCGTGAAACAGGTAAGGAACAAAGAGAGGGACCTGGATGCTGGGCCTGCTGCCAGTGACAGCCTCTAAGGCACGGCAAAAGATTTCGAGTCCCCTCTACTGTGGAAACTGAGAATGTCTCCCCGCTTTCCTGACTTTCATGTAATGCTACTGGGAAAAGGAGAGTAAAGCATAATGTCACTTAAAAAGGCTGAGAGCTAGAGAGCATTATGCTAAGTGAAATAAGCCAGGCAGTGAAAGACAAATACCATATAATCTCTCCTATAAGTAGAACCTAATCAACAAAACAAATAAGTGGGCAAAACAGAACCAGACACATGGAAACAAAGAACAAACTGGCAGTGACCACAGGGGAGAGGGGAGGGGGAGTAACAGGGGAAAGAAGAAGAAGGGTCAAGTCAAGGAACATGTATAAAGACCCATGGACAAGGAAGGCGGGAGACTGAATGTGGGAGAGGGGAGGGGGCAGGGCAGGGCAGAGCAATGGGCAGGGGGAATGGGGGCCACTGGAACTGAACAACAATAAAAGAAAACAAAAGGTTGAGAGGACATCAAAACTGTGGCATTGGACCCGAGCCAATCTCACTCATCTGGAAGTCTACTGTAACTGGGTATTTTGGACAGGCTTGTAAACTCTGTGTGTGGGGGGGGTGCACTTTATATTCCTCCTGCATTGCCCAATTCCCAGCCACAGGCTGGGCACACAGGAGCTCTGGCAAAGTCCTTTGCTGGGTGGCTGATGACAGACTCGACTGTGCTGACAGGAAGCCCAGGCTTGTGGGGCACTGTGTCCGTAGACAGCTGGAAAGTGATGTGTGGGGAACAAGGGCAGGGATGGGAGAAGGGAGGACAGGTATGCAAGGGCCACTGTGCACAAAAAGACAGGCTTTGATGGTGACAAATAGTACCCGAGAGGGCTGCTCTTGTCACCAATAATACTTTCTGGCATTCGCTGAGCATTTTTGTGTGTCAGGACTGGAGCTTCCTGCTTTACATGTGATAGCTCACTTCATTCTCACAGCAATTTAAGGTGCTAGTGTTATTATTTTCTTTAGTTTACAGAAAGGGCCCAAGAGACTTAGAAAGGTAAAGGGATTTGCTTAAGGTCTCAAGGAAGGAAATGGCAGGGTCAAGATTCAAGTCCAGGCCTGTGTGATTTCAGGGACCACGCTCTTCGCCCCCTGCTGAGCTGTGCCAGTGTCACGCCTGCTGTAGCAACAGCAGTGCAGTGTGACATGGCTGCCAAGGGCCACACGTCGACTTCCTGATGCTAACGGGGATCACGTTCCCCTTCCTTCTGGTGCGTGTATTCAATACAAGTGTGTTTTCGTCTGTATCAGTTCTAGCAGAAGGGGAGAAAGACGGGGGCAGACCCCACTGGGTGAATACAATGGCACTTGAAAGAGAATGTTGGCGGGAAGACTTTTAAGGGAGCGCGACCAGGGACCACTGATGATGGTCTATGTGAACTCAAAGTGCCCGGTTGCTCCTGTGGGGAAGGGCAGGTATGAGTGTAAGATGAGAGTGGAGGCAGCGGGGGAGGTAGAACACAGACGCTCCGTGGACTAACGCGAATACCCCAGTGCTCTGCAAGCCCGTCTGTTTCCGGGGCTCTCTCCTTCAAGCACAGTTTGCCTCTGTCAGCCACACAGGGCCAGGTGGGCTACAAAGGAAGACAAGAGAACAGCCCGCACAGAGGAGTGGGCGTCAGACAATGACATGTTAAAATGGGATTCCCCTTGAAACAGAAAGGACGGACTCCGAGTTTGGCAGGTGAGGAGGGGAGGGGAGGGCACTGAGCGCAGCCCAGCTCTGGTAGAGGGGCGGTTCTGTTGTGACGGTTGCATGTCTTCTCAGGGCCAGGTCTGCGCTGAGTGCCCCCAGCCACAATCTCAGTACATACTGTGAAAGGTGTGCAGGTGGATGGAGAGGCCGTTGGCTTGCCGGAAGCCCTTGCCACAGTCCCTGCAGACATATGGCTTGTCCCCGGTGTGGGTCCTCACGTGGCGGGACAGCTCGATGGACTGGGCAAACACAGCATCGCAGTACTGACATGCATACATTTTTCCTGGAAATACACACGAATGTATTAGAGCCAGCACTAAACCTCTATGGCATTCCTAAAAGAAAATCACATTCTAAGGCATGTACTGGGGAAATATAATCTGCAAGACGACAGTACAACATCAGGGAATTTGCAATTCCCTGGGTGAGAGGTCCAAGTCAGCCTATCAGACGATGCCTCACGAACACAGCTGATTAAACAGAGATGGTGTCCGTGTGGTCTCCCTACCCTGAGGAATACAGACAGAGTTCTTATCACACAAGATCATCCATCTTTTAACCAGGCCACCACACATGCATGAAAGAGCTCATTCCTCTCCCAAGAAACAGCTATATATCCTTGTGCCCAGAAACACCCACGTCTGGATCCCTTGAAACATATTCAGTACAAAAATGCAACAGCACATAAAGATGAGAGGCATGGATTCAGAGAAGAGTCAAAGCCTTCTCCCTATGCTATAGTTACCATAAATCATTTGGCTGCTCTTACCCTTCACATGTTAAGAATATAATGACCAGGCTGCCAAAGACTGCTAGGAAATACAGATAAAGAGCAAGTCCGGAGAACTAGCATTTGTTAACAATGCTAGACCAAACGTACCTCACCCACTCTTATGGGCCAAAGGAGAAGGGAAATCAGTGAGGTAAGGGTCCAGACCCCCAAATCCTAGGGCCTAATTCAACAAGAGCAATCAACCTCATTTTCATTTTTACATATTGGACTTTGCAGTAAAATTCTGTTACCAAAAAAGTGCTTCTTAAGCCAAGAGTTCAAGCTATTGAGAAGCCTCCGACTCAGCTCTCTTCTTTCCCTGTACTTTCTAGATGATCTTATCTCAGAGCCTTGGACCCATCTGTACACTGATAGCACCCACATTTCTATCTCCAGCTCCCAGCTTTCCCCAGAACTCCAGGCTTCTGCATCCTATTTCTTATTATTTCCCATCTCTATTTGGAAGTCCAATAGGCATCTCGAACTCAAAGACAAAACAAAGACCCTGATTCTCTACCCACCCCCCCACCTCAATTTCCCCCACATCATTTACTCAGTTGCTCATGTCAAAAATTCCACAGTCATCCTTAAGTCTTCTCCTTCCCTCACATCCCTCATCCAATCCATCATTAGTCATATTACTTCCACTTTTAACAATATATCCCCAAACCTGAATTTTTTATTACCTCTCTGTTCCCAACACAACTCTAGTTGACAATGCTAAAACCTCTACACTGGACTACAGCAATGCCTCCTGCCTCCCTGCTAATGCTATACTCCTGTCCTATTACAGTTTACTGTCCAGCATTACCTTTAAAAAATGTAAATTAGGTCTTATCATTCCTTGGCTCAAAATCTTCCTATGGCTTCCTGTGGTAGACAGAAGAATGCCTCAAAGATGTCCATATCCCAATCCTGAAAACCCGTGAATACTGTTACCTTACACAGCAAATGGGACTTCGTAGATGTAAAAATTAAGGATCTTGAGACAGGAAGATTACCTTGGATTGTATAAGCAGGCCCACTGTAACCCCAAGGGTCCTTGTAAGAGGGAGGAAGAAGAAGGGGCATGATGACAGAAGTGGAGGCTGGAGGGATGCGGCCACAGGCCAAGGAGTGTGGGCAACCTTTATGGGCTGGGAAGGACAGGGAAGGAATTCTCCCCAGAGCCTCCAGAAGGAGCACACTCTGCCAGAATGTCAGCCTTGTTAAGACCATCTTGGACTTCTAACCTCCGAAGTGGTAATGTTATATATTGTTGTTTTAAGCCACTGCTTATGATACACAGTTTGCATCAAACCCTGGTACATGACTTAGAAAGCCCTTATCTTGGTTTCTAAGACCCTGGAAGATCTGGCCTTTGGTGATCCCTCTGATCTCATCTCTCAAGACTCACTCCTTTACTCTGCTTTAGCCCCTTCTAGTGCCTCAAATGGCTCCCGCTCACTGCAGCTTGGGATCCTTTTCTCCTAGAGCTCCCACTGGTTGCATCTCTTACTTCGTTCAGGTTTCTACTCAAATTTCAGCTCTCAGAAGCCTTTTTTAATGATACAAATAGTGTCCCACCCCAACCTGTCCTCCTCTTGCTGGTAACTCTGCCTTATTTTTCTTTATAGCAATGACCATGATCTGAGTTTATATTACACATTTACTTGTCTATGGTCTGCTTTACTCATTGGGATGGCAGCTCCATGAGAGCAGGGTGCGTATAGTTATACTATACCTAGTGCCTGCAATAGGGCTCAAAAAATTCATGTATTCAGTAAATATTATTGAAGGCACACTATTGCTGAGGACTATTCTGAGTCCCACAGATACAGCAATTGAAAAAAAAAAAGACTAACAGTTCTACCCTCATAAAACTTTTATTCTAACAGGGGAGACTTACTATAAATTCATTCATAAAGTAGATAATACATCATATGACAAGCACTATGGAGAAAAACAATGGAGGGGATCTGGGGCCGGGGTCACTGAGGTTTTACACAAGGTGTCAGGAAAAGGTGAGGTGAAAGGCCTTTGCAGGGTTTTAAGCAGGGGAGAGACAGGGTGTGGTTTAGTTTCAAAAGGATCCTTTGGGCCTGTGTATTGAGAACACTGTCCAGCAAAAAGGTGAGAGAAGGAGAACACCTGGGAGGCTACAGCACCAACCCAGGTGAGATGAAGGCAGCTTTATCACTTACACAGTTTAGATGCTCCAAACTATACACAGAATCCCCAAGGGAGGCTCCACCCCGCTGACTGGACTAGAAACCCCCACTGCCGCCTCCTTCCTGGCGTTGCTGCATATGATGCCACTGATGACGCTTCATGTCACTGTCACTGCTAGACACACTCCAAACCTCAGCTCTGTGAGCACAGGCTCCAGCTCAGTCACCAGCATCTGTCAGTGCCTGACCCACAGTGAGTGCTCAACCAAGATCTGGCTTGTGCTCAAGGGCCACCTGAAAGCCCCAGGAATTCCTGGCTTTATGTAAATTCTGCAACTATACAATTCTACAATTACACACTGCGTTAGTCAGCCTCTCTTCAGAAACTCTCACCGTAAGTATTTTACATGCCTGTGCACCTATGTGCTCCTAGACCTCTGCTTTTACATTCTGTTTTGTTTTTAATCTACCTGAGATACACATCATGCCTAATTCTGAGTGGGTTTTTAGGCAGCTCACAGGGTTGAAGTCTGCAGGAGAAATGAAGACATTCTCCGCGCCTTACCTTCGGAGTGCTTCTTCTTGGTGTGGTAGGCGAGGGCGGAGGCCTGGGTGAAGGTCATGAGGCAGTGCTTGCACATGAATGGGCGGTCCCCCGTGTGAAGGCGAAGGTGGTTCTTCAGGGTAGAGTTGGCCGCAAACTTTGCCCCGCACTCTTCACAGGAGAAAGGCTTCTCATCGAAGTGCTCGGTCAGTTTGTGGTACTGCATGCCTAGGGAGGCCATGCCAGAGAGACACTAGTAATCAGTGGTGTGAAGCTACATCATATCCAGCTCCAGGATACACTCTGCCAGCACCGCCTCGGGCCAGGCCCTGCCCGCTTTAACTTCAGACGGCCATACTGCTCATCACATGTGCCCGCTGCCCAGCTGCCCGCCACCCAGCGCGCTGAGTCACTTCAGTCTCACTCATGGTTTAATCAGGCACGAAGTGTCCTAGGTGTATCTTTCCTCTCTCTCTTTCTTTCTCTTATATAGGACCCAGTCACCCAGAAAGAGCGAAACAAAACTCACTTTTACGTTTCATTAGTTTTACCCAACATCTGGGGTGAGGGAAAACAATTCTGACTATGCATCCCATGATTTCCCTGACTCTTGTTTATTACCAAGAAACAAGTGATGCACAAAAGCCTGACAGTCAGTTGTTAAATAGCTGGTTATCATTATGAGTAGCGACAGCCACAATTTCCTGAGTACTAACTCTATTGTAGGTTCTGAACTATGTATTTAGCTGTATTATCTTAAATCATCATAACAATATAAAAAAGTAGGTGGCATCAGGGTGCCTATTGCTAGGGAAATTAAAATTCAGAGCTGATTCCAAAGCTCATGCCCTTCTCAAAACATTACCCTGCCTCTCTAGGAATCTGCTCTATTTTCTAAGCCCATCCACGGCCCCTGTTGTATGCAACTAGAAGCAGTCCTGGAATGCAAACCACAACATTCGGAATTATCATCCTCAGTTACTTCGCATTCCTGAATGTACCTGAGGCGTGAGCAAATTCTCTTCCACAGAGGTCACACGTCACCGGAAGCCTCTTCTTCTTCTTCTTGGGGACGTCAGGCTCTCCGCCCGCACCGTGGGCCTCCAGCTGATGTTTCTCCAGCTCTTTCTTAGACTCCTTGGTCTCATTACACTCCTTACACTGCACCTGTTTGCTCTTGGCCACCCGGCAGCGCTTCATGTGCACCTTTAGGCGGCAGTAGAAATGGAAGCTTTTGTCACAGGCCTTGCAGATGAAGCTCTTCTTGGCAGAGTCTGGGGAGGAAGAAGCGTCCTTCTCTTGCTGTTCTGGCAAGGAACTAGTCTCTCCTTGATCGTTCTGTTTCCCAGACTGGCAGACTTCTTCAACTGGCTCAGCTGCCCGTTCATCTGCTTTGTCATTGGCTTCCAGGTGAAATTTATTACTCACCTTCCACCTTTCCTTCTCTCCATTTTCCTGAGTAAGGAAACCTGCGTGGGAGAGAAATCTTATGGCCTCTAGGAATTCTCTAAGTTTCTACTTTGCTTTCTCACTTTTCTTCTTAGAGGAGAATGCAGACTACTTGAGACCCTCAGAGGTAACTGAAGCAATATCACTGTCATCTTTACTTGATTAACACAAACAGTATTAATTTACATCTATGTCTACGACTTTTCTAAGTACTGAGAGCATATAAAGAAATAAATAAGGTAGCTAGGGATGAACTTTCATATGAACTGCTGCCTCTTCCCCCAAGAAGGAAACAACCTGGGTCGCAACAGGACCCCCACCCACCCTGTTTCTTACCAGTGTACGCTAGCTCCTGCATGACAGGCTGCAGGCCTGGGAAGGACCTGTGCATGCTGCAGAGGAGCCGACATATTTCCGTGGCCGAGACGGCCTTTTCCATGGCTCTGCTCAGCCCCGCTTTCAGGGAGGCTTCAGGGCTGGCTGTCTCAGAGGAAATGCTCAGCATCTGAATGAACACCATGAGACAAAGGTTTGCGGGTTAATATCAGCAGATTTTCTACATGGTTTTTAACCTAAAAAAAAAGAAAAGCTAATTTCAGGAAAGCATTGCCCCATGCGCAACAAGTTTACATGGCTTGTGATAAATAAGAGTGGAAAGCCCTGTTGTCCAAAGAACAGGGAAAATAACAAAATTAAAAAAAAAAAAAAGAGGCACATGGGAAGGCAAATGTGCGAATACAAAGGTGCAGACAAGGAACATTAAGCATTTTCTACGAGAAATATCCTCCTAGCAACAAGGAATCTCCCAAAGAACTTTCCTAGATCTTAATATTAAAAGCTTGGGAAACTGCAGGATTTTGTTGTTGGTGTTTCTGCCCTGAAGATCAAAATAATTTTTCATAATATATAATTATCTCAATGTCTGGAAGTAATTTTGCATGATCAGTGGCTTCACATTTTTAGATACTCAGATGTACCCTTTTAAACATCATTTTCTTTCATAAAGAAACTCAGCTTTTTAAAGAAAGGGCCTTTAAAGAGGCCAAGAATATTATTTCAAAGCCGTCCTCTTTCAGAATGTTAGAGCTATCAGCAGAAAGAGTCAGTACACTGAGAAAATAAAGCGAAACCATCCGCAGATGGCCAAATGGAATTTTCATTTTGGAAGATATTTTATTCCTGCTCTTTTCAAGTCTATCTAAATAAACCTGATGTCCCTGGAGGTAGGCATGAGACTAATTAGTGAGGCTAAAACTGATCAACTGCAGAAGCCCCATCTCTGAAGTTCTGGCGTGCTGGAGGAGAGTCCAACAGATGCATCTTTCCTCTGAAGCCCACGGAAATGTGTGCCGTTGTCTTCCCATTTGAGAGTCAGACTGGGGTGGGGCCGTTTGTTACCTGTGTGGACAGTTAGAAACCAGTCCTCCTGCACACCTCCCATGCCTACTTGGATCAAAAGGTACTACACGTGAATTTGTGGTTTAATTTTATGATCCTTTATAATTCTTCCCCACTCGAGATACACAAGATCCTGGACTGGACGTCCACGAATTCTCCCCCAATCCCCACCTGGTTTTTCTGGGATGCTGGCCACACTGTGAGAAGCCTTACAGAAAAGGAGCTGGCACTATTTGTTACCCCATATGGGCAAAAGCTTTGTTCTATGTTTATCTTGGTTCTTTCTAGAAGCCAAAATGGAGCATGTAATAAGCCCATTTTACTTTCCTTCTAAGAGAAGTTGCTTCTGAAAACATGTTAGACAACAGTATTATGGTTCCCTTTGAGTTCCCTGAGGTTCAGACAAACGAAATAAATCTAGGTTTGAGTCACGTGAATTGGGATTATATTCTGGCTTCACCTCTGACCAATGGAGCATCCTAGACAAGTCACTGAGCCCTTGGAGACCCAGTTCCCTTGTCTGTAAAGTGTGGGTGACATCATCGACCACTTTGAGCTGGGAGGATCAAAGAGCAGACGAGCCAGGAACACGGAAGGCTCGGCACACAGCAGGCGCTCTGCAGAAGCTGGCCCCTCCTGAGCAACTAGGCAGTCCCGGGCGTTAACTCTGTCCAACTCCCCGCAACCTCCTACCGCACCTCCTTCACCGTCTCCACCAGGCGCTCTTCCTCTGAGGTAAAGTCCTTTAGTGCCAGCCTGTGCTGGATGGCCTCTAGGATCAACCTGCGATGCCTCAGGATGGTTTCTAAGGCAGCACTTTCTGGGGCGGTCACTGAAAGGAAGGGAGTTGAAAACTCATTAGTAAAAGTATGAGCACCATTTTTGGCTCTGGGAATTCTCTTCATCTTTTCTCAACTCAACTCTCCATAGTGAGAATCCACTTTACCTGTCTCCCACCTGCGGTTGGGAGTGAGGGGAATGGCACATAGCACTGCACTCAGAGTATGACTACTGATATAAGCTTAGAATACTTACTGTGCATTTTATTAAAAAAGGTTTACATCCTGGATCAAAATTACTAGTCCTGCCCTGGCTGGTGTGGCTCAGTGGATAGAGAGCTGGCCTGCAAACCAAAGGGTTGCTGGCTTGATTCCCAGTCAGTGCACATGCCTGGGTTGCAGGACAGGTAGCCAGTAGGGGGCGCACAAGAGACAGCCACACATTCATGTTTCTCTCCCTCTCCCTCTCTCTAAAAATAAAATAAAAATCTTAAAAAAAAAAATTATTAGTCCTTGCTTCCAGTGGTAGGGATGTGAAAGAAAGATGATTGTAAGACAGTTCTTTCAATTTTCTGACAAGACTGACAATAATCTGTAGTGGGAACAAAGTCATGACCAAGGGTCAGTAACGTACCTGCCTGGAAGAAAGCATCGGCACCAGGCTCCCTTCGAATTTCCTCCATGAGCAGGTTCAACGGGCAGGTCTTTGTCTCCTGAACCATCAGCAGCAGTTGCCAAACGGCTGTTGCAGAGAGAGTCTGCTTTTCTAGAACTGCTGACATCAAAGAAGTGAAACCATCCGAACCAGAGTCATGCTTCACAAGCTTCTCCATGACCTTCAAGATGCAGCATAAACATACATGTAAGGGCCTTCTGGCCACTGGCCCCGCCATGGGGCTGCACGTCTGAGTACAGGGTCCCAGAGAACGTACTTTTGGGGGAGGGGGATTTTTCAGCACCCTTCACCTCTCTCAACCTGACAGATTTTCATATATAACAAAGTTCTTCATTCCTCCTGTTTAATGCCTTTCCTTATGACTGCAGAAATTACAACTACCTATTTGTCACGTAGCTTCAGAAACTGAATCACTTTCTATTTCTCCTCTATGCACTCCTTAGCATTGCTCAACATAGCTGGGTGTGTATATTTATATAAAATATAAATGTCTTTAAAAATATATTCATCTTTTTGCCTACTTTTACATTTTACTCCCCGCCCCACCCCCCACCCTGCTCCCTCTCTTACCTCTCTTTCTCCAGGGGCTAAACTCTTCACGTGTGGGATCATTTTTAGTAACATCTGGTTGTCTGTGGAAATCTCAGAGAGGTTTTCGTGATACCGTCTCAACAGCTCAGTCCCATAATCATCAGGGCTCGCTCGGACTGTAAGGACATTAGCAGAACAATAATGTGCAATAGAACACACCTTCCTTAAGGGCTTCTGCTGTAGGAGACCCGGGGAGTTACAAATGAGAGGAAGAGAAAGATCTGCGCGAGAGCTCTGTCTCCTCTGGAGAACAAGTTCAGCTCCTGGCTTGGGGCCTCACACACACACCCCCGTTCAGATCTCCTTCAATCTACACTTAATCACTTGGTGCTTCAGGGGCACAAGACCACTAAGCCTTTGAAAGTTAATGCCTGGTGGTAGAAGCCAGGATTGCTCAATGGGGCGGGGAGGTAATTAGAAGGCTGTGCCTGTAAGAGATTCAGATGTACAGACTCCAGGGGTGTTATGATCAAGGCCGGGGTAAAGGACCCACGCAGTGGTCCAGGGTGCAGGCAGGCATGAGTCGAGACTGTGGAAGGGAAGCCGACCCACTGTTCCTCTGTTTATATGCCCTTCGAGCCAAATTGCTAGATACTCTCTTAAGAGGTCATATTTATTTGAAAGGAAAGAAAAATCAACACCATCAGGCACTTCCCTTAGTTTTGCAGATATTTAAAAATTTATTTTCCTCTTTTGTCCAATAACTCTGCTTCTGGGCATCTAACTTTAAGAAACAATTTGAAGCCAAAAAAAGTCTTTGTACCAAGGTATTTGTCACTATATAACTTGTGGTGGTGGTGATAATGATGATGATGATGATGAAGACAATAACAACTAATATTTACTGAGTGCCCATTATGTGCTAGGCACTGTGCTAAATGTTTTGCATATATAATCTCACAGTAGCCACAAAAACGAATGTGACAGGTACGTTTCTTATCTTCATTTCACAGAGGAGAGAATGAGGTTCAGAAAGCTTAGGTCACTCGCTCAAAGAGCTACAAAGTGAGTCAGGATGCGAACCCAGGTAGTGCTGACCGTCTTAATCATTATACTACATGTGTGCCGAAATGACATCCTTATGATGGAAAAGTACATAGCCTTCAAAAGCAGGAGTACAGGGAGGTTTTTGTAATGGGGGAGAACATTTTTGTTATACTGCTAGATGGGAAAAATTATAAACTTATAAAATATGGTAGAGTATGTCAAACATTGTACAAATAATGTGACAGACAAAGTAGGTCAATGTGTGAATACTGATATAATCAAGTAATAGAGTTTAGGTTTTCTTCTTTATTTTTGAAACTATTCAAATTTGTCTAAGTATATATTACTTTTATAAGCTAGGAAAAAAGGTCTCTCATCTCCCAAATATGCTTTTTCTGAAAACCACCTAGTTTCGAACGCTCTAAGTTAGGGGACAGTTGGCTAGCGTCAGTGTTTTTCTAGGGAATGGAACAGGGACTCAGTGCCCCAAACTGAATGGACGTGAGGGGACTGCTGGAACCAAAGAGCACTCAAGTGGGGATGGGGAAATTAAGACTTGTGTTTCTGGTGCTCCATCTGTCAATAAAACGTGTCAAAATCGTGAGCCTTGTGAGCCCGTGTGTTCCTCAGGCATTCACAGGTGACATGTGACAGTCCTGGGAGAGCCACACGTTTAACAAACCCTGCACCACTGGAACATCATAACGGAGCTGACTAGAAAAGAGAAATTCTCAGGTTTCAGATCTTCAGAAATTTTAGAATCACTGATTTGTGACAGCTAGTTTCTGTTTTGCAACGGCATTTTTAAACACAATCTTGCTCCCCAGCATGGAGCTAAAAGGGTGTTTTAAGCTATAATTTTCTGTAGGAGCGGTTCCGGTCCAGAGAGCCAACAATTAACTAATACCTGTGGTGCTCGGCAAAGTGGCTAGTTTCTGCAAATTCTCCAGCAGAAGGGCCAAGTTCGGGAACATCATCTTCACAGCCTGAAGGAGTTTTACCAAACTCTCAGCAGTCAGGGTCCTCTCTTTAGACATTCTGTTCAGCAGATTTTCTATTGTCTCCTTGGGTGTCCCGCCCTCGCAGCAATTCAGAATCACCTGCAGCGGCAAGCAATCAACCAGACGCAGTTACTGGCAATTCCAAATGTAGCTGACATGCCACTGGAAAACCCAGCAAGATGGCGTTACAAGACGCCCTGCCCCCACGTCCTCCCACTGCTGGTTCTCCAGGGTTTTTTCACAGTCTCTTCCTTATTCTGTTTCAATAAAATTCCAAAACATTCTCCAAACAAACAGCTCTATAAAAATCAATCTTTCTCAATTGCGGGCCTGTCTGTATTCTTTGCCTCCAAGAGTTGGCACATTGTGAAAATAGTCTTACACTGGGCCTATGTGGCAGAGTGAGTAGCTTACATCTAACCTGATTCTTTAGATTGAGTTGTTCAGACACTAAGATTGAGAAACAGATAGGCAATTAATTAATACAGTTATAGTGTTTTCCAATTTCTGTTCAGTATAGACTGCAATTTCAAAGCAATCCTATTATTTTACTTTTTATTTTATTTGTATAGCAATTTGAATATCCAGATAATTTATACATTAGTCTGTGCACCCTGAAATAACAGATTTAAAGTGCATTTCTGGGTTATTTTCCTGTGGATTCTTTATTATCTATCCTTCCCATTCTCAATGTCCACATACATCAGCTCCAGCCATCGTCCCACAATTTCACGCCTTTGCTCCTCCTTCATGGTTAAAGGATGTTCTGAGTCGAGAGTGCATGGGGCTCAAGCAAAAGGTTGAAAAATCAGACACACGACAGCTATTTTACAGATAGTTCCTATTACAATAGAACTATTTCTTAATGGGTTACAACTCAATATGCATAACTTGGCTCTTATGGAACTGATAATGCAGGGGATTATTTCAATATACGTAATCTACAGATTCACAGCAACTGAATTTTGAGCTTTCCTTTGGGAAAGGACTGGCTCTTGGGAGAAACAGTCAAGTAAATCAGTCACGACAGCATGCCCGAGGATGCTATTATCAAATTAACTCCCATTTTAAAATAATGAATTTTGCTATAAAACCAAATTGGTTTTATATATATATGAAAGGAATATCTATATTACATATAAGAAAGGAATGTATATATTATAAATCAAGTTGTCATATTCCTTGTCAGTACAGAACATAGTCATTCTCCTTAAGGTCTAATATATATATGTTAGATTTCTACTAAATGAACCACAATTTACAATGTAAGTGCTTGTATCTAAAAACCATACTGATTTCAGTGTTACCTCTTCGTTCCTAAGCAATAACCTAATACATGATGAGGCAGCCAGTTACTGTTAAGAGTAGGAATGGTTTTAAAGCTAGACAGCCCTAGTTTGAATTTCAGTTCTAAAATGTGTTGTCCATGTGAGCTTGGGCAAGATGTTTAGTTCTTTGAGCCCTGTTTTCCTCATCTGCAAAAGAAGATAACTATACCACCCTCACACAGTTCTTAATGAGGACTCTGTAAAATGAAGTTGCTATTTGTAGAGCCCAGCATAACCCCTAGGACACGGGTGACTAGGAGTAAACGACAGTGGTTACTGATGTTCCTGGGAAGCAGTGTGCACAGTGGCTACGTGAGTGTGCTTTGTTTAGAAGCCAGGGTTCCAGCACTGGCCCTAAGCAGCTGTGTCTTTGGGTGGGCTGCTTAACCTTCGTAAGCGTCTGTTTCTTCATCTTTAAAATTGGGGTAATATCCATGGCTTCATAAAGTTACTGTGAGGGTAGAATTTATATGCTTAAAATGTCCTCAGAATATTTCTCGGCAAGCAGTAAGCAGTAAGTAAATGGCAGCTATAGTAATTACTATTTTTATGTTTCCAATCCTGAAGATGATCCTATTTACCATTTCTTACAGAACCCAAACTGTGCGTGGATAAGGGCCATGGTGCCTATGATTAGCATCATTCCATAACTGAAAAAGGTTCTAAAAGGCCTGAGTGCACGTTCCACGTGATGTCAAAACACTCTGGCCATTCATTTGTCGTTCATCTCTACACTCCTGCTTTATTATTTTGCTTCAATTTTTGTGAGAAGGAGTAGTTTAATGAGGCTCTGGTGGACCCCAATCCTAAGAAGTATTTGTGTGTGTGTGATTTATAACTAATTTAAGCTCTACTGCTTCAGCCCTCTCTGTCAAGTTAACTGAAAGAGACAGAAGAAAATGACAGTGTGGTCTGCCTCGTGGCAGAGAATGAGGCTGAGTTTGGGCTCTACCTATAAATGCTGTTTTACCAAGATAATGAAACAGTTCAAAGGACACATTCAATCCAGCTAATAAGGAAGGGGTTTGAATGAGTATTCGAATGAAATCACTAAGGGAATCAGGTGCCTCTATAAGCAACTTACTTTAACTGAGTGACTGAAATTACACTTAATAGGAAGTCTAAGGATAAAACGGGTTTAATCTTAATCTTATTTTGTGTATTATCTTTCTCTAAGATGTTCAAAGGAGTTAAAGTTTTAAAATATAATTAATTTTCAAAATACAATTTTGAGATTAAAGATTATTCCCATTTTGTATGAAAAAAATAGCAATACAAGATGACTGAGAAAAAGAAAACCTAGAATCCAGTCTCACCATTAACCTAGTGCTCAGCCATTACACCAGTGGTTTCCAAACATCTTCTCCCCTGAACATTTAAGCCACTTCCCACAGTTTTAAGAATTGATGCCACAAAAGTTCTCTGTCCCTATTCCTTCCTTCCACATATAAAAATATTTTTAGCACAACGTTGAAATCAATAACACCAACAAATACAGTTATCTAGTTGACTTGAAAAGTCATGCTAGCAGTTTTATGAGGATTTTAGTAGCTGGCTGGTGGGAGAGTAAATTGGTATAACCTTCCTGAAGGGCAATTTGGCAATATCTATCAAGCAAGCACTTGGAAAATTTTATACTCTCTATTGCAATATCCTACTTCTTAAAAATTACAGAAATAATTTCAGAATTACGCAAATATTGTGTATCAGGATGTTCTCTGCAACATCATTTACAAGAGCAAAATAGTGGGAACAACTACCCAACAATTAGGAATTAAAGAATTCTTTATTGCCCATTAGACAATACAATACTGCTACCAAAATCCATATTGTAAGTATGTATATGCATTTATAATATATTAAATTTATAAAGTTAAAAAACTATATGGTAACCCCATTCCAGGGATGATTCAAATAAGAAAAAGCGGCAGCACATGCTCAAAATGTTAGTAGTGATCATCTCTGAGTGATAGGATAGTAGAATATTTGAATTTTTTATTTGTTTTCCGAATTTTCCACAGATGAACAATATATCACTTCTATCACTTCTGTAAAGAGGAAAAGTGTCACAATACTTACAAATATACCTCTCTACTTCAATTCTTGAGACAGCTGTTTTATAACAAAAACTCATTGGATCGGAGCAGGACTACCTACCTATCCATGCCCCTAACCATTTAATGTACAACTACAATGTGCAAGGCCCTCAGCCAGCTGTTGCAAGGATAAAGAGGCGTGAATCAAGGACCTGAACTTCAAGGTGCTTACTATGTAGAATATACAAGAATACTGCAAGGTAAAAAGTCCTATGTGTCACAAAAGAGGTTTAAAAAAAACTGCGATATGAATTCAGAAGGGAGGGAGCCACCCTCGACGCAGTTACCCTCCTCTCGGAGCCGGTCAGGAACCCCTCCTGGGCTGTCTCCAGGAACTCCATAATAGGTCTCAGCTGTGTTACACACTGGATCAGGTCCTCTTTGTGTTCTAGTAACAGGGCAGACAAGGTCTTTCCCTCCTCTGTGCTCCCTGCGGGAGAAAGGGTTAGAGACGCACAAGAGAAGCGAGTTGATTTGAAGAAAACGATAGCAAGGTTTGTCAAGAGAGATCTAACAGAATGGTAAAGCGATTCTCAGCCTATTCTGAGGACGCAAATGCAGAATCTCTCTTTCAGGAGAGGAAAATACTTTATTATTCTGTTTAAATTTTATGAAAGGAAAAATGTTTCATTTATCTGTCGAAACACAAAGCTGCAGAGCCAGCCAGAGGTTAACTTCTGGTTGGCAAGGCCGCTGCGTTGTACCGAACCCAAAGAAGGGGAAGCTTCAGCCTTTAAAAGTGCTGTCAACGAACCAGTTCACCCTGGGCTCAAAACACTGATTTGGGTGTGTGGCTTTTTGAAGGGCAGAAGAACACTGATGGTATTCTCCAACTTCAAGGTGTCAGACAGTTTAGTTAACTAGGGGATAAAAATGGAGACTCTGATTTAACTTGTATATATTTAGCTTGCAGCTTCTGGAATTACATGTACAATTTATGTGAAAATCACTTAACAATAACAAAGCCACTGAGGAGGTGAATCGCTGCAGCAGGCTTTCCAGCATCTGCCCGGAATAAGACTCAGGTGGATAGGCTTGCTCCTACCTTTTGGCTGTGCCACCTCCACAGCGCCCGGCCTCCTGCCTCGCAGTGCTGTCTTGACTGCAGGCTTAGAATCTTGGTACAGCCTCAAAAGGGACACGACGGATGCAATGCCCAGGCTCTCCTCTCTCACTTTCCCCAGGATCCTCCGGAATGCGGAATGTCCTTCTTCACCCGTAAGACATCCCATTATGATCTGGGGAACACAAATACCCAGAAAGAGAGATCAGCCGGACATAAGAAACCCACACCCCTTGAATTTGTCGAGTAAGGCCGTTGACAATTTGCTCCCCCCACCTGACTCTCTCGTGACATCTGGCATTGCTCTTGCGTCTGTATAACAACTGTCCTCTAGCTTCACTGTCCTGAGGCATTTTGAGTAAGCACTTTCTGACCACTCCTTTCCAACATCCCTTAGTGTTTCTTCTTCCAAATCTATAACCATCAGCAGTACCTACAACTGGTCTTGACTCCTTATTTTCTCCTCTCCCTTTTGAAAAGCTCTCAACTATCACTTTTATGTAGCTAACCCTGAAGAACAGCTCTCTAGCACTCAGCTCTGTGTTTAAATCTAGAGCCACACAGTTTGTGCTGGATATGCCTTATGCTCAGAGGTCTCAGCGCCAAGTGTCTGAAACCCAACTCACCATCCTGACTCTGCTAAACCTAGAGTACAAAAATATCAACAACTCCAGTGATAAAAGAAACAAAACTACCTTTCCTTTTTTTGGTCTGATAGAGCATCTCTCACATACTTGGGAGGAAGGCCAACTGGAAGGTGGGATTAACACTTCTATTTTAGCAATAATGAATTTATTTGAAAAAAATCTGGTACCAAAACCTAATTTTACAGGTACAGTCCAATATATACAGTCCTTACACTTCTACTTGGCAAAACAACAACCTACCTTTGATGTTCTTTTTATTGTCGATACTTTGAAAGAAAACAGCTGTCTCACATGAGTCTTCAAAGAGCAAAATTAGTTTTCTACCCACACACATAACATGATAGGATCTCACCAATATCTACACTTGCAAAGTTAAGCTAGACCGTTATAAATTCTGGTAGTAATTATATGTTTTAAAATTTTTGTTTAGAGAGACTTTATCTTTCTCCCAATAAATAGGAATTATAAATGACTTTGTATTCTTGGTTTTGCTTGAGCTTGTTTCCTGATCGCAGAATCACTGTATAAAGCTCAATTAAACTTTGTTTTTCTAAAGGTCCCTATGCTTTTTGGTCCTCCTCAAAGGAAACTTAGATAAAACACAGTTTAGTAATCCACATTACGATTTTACTGGAGCTAAGTAACTACCATGAACTTGTCTCTATTTTAAAAATAATATATGAGATAAAGACACCAATTGAATGCTTAATCCCCTTTAATCACATTTATTCAACCCTTCGTCCTTTTGTTAGTTGGCCTGCAGTCTCTTTAGAACGGCCCGAGCGTAGGGGGGACCTGCGGGGGCAGCCTCTGCAATGTCATGACTCTCCAGGTTCCTGCCTCCACGGGCTCCTGCCCTTGGGCTGAACCTAGTAGCTAAGGAAGATAACGTGGCAAAAGAAATGGGCTGCCACTTCTGAGATTAGGTCCCTGGGACTCCCGTCTTGCCTGTGTGTGCACTGTGTCTATCTCTGCCCTGGATGCAAGCTGCCATGCTGTGAGATGCCCTACAGAGTGGCCAAGAATGAGTGAGTGAACTTGGAAGTGGCTCTTCTGAAGCCTGCCAATAGTCACGTGAGCCAGGTTAGAAAGAGATTCCCCCAGCTGAGCCTTGAGATGTCTGCAGTCCTGGCTGGCACTCTGCTAGATTCCTGACCCACAGAAACCACAAGGTGATAGATGTTTGTTCTTTTAAGCCGCTAAATTTTAGAGTAATTTGTTACACAGTACTTGATAACTAATAGAGACTCACTCATTGCTAATGCCTTAGTAAACATGTCTCTTTCTCTTCATTTTCCTCTCTTTCCTTCCTTTCTTTAGCGCATCATAACCCATATTGCACAGAGCTGTCTCATCCGATACTTGGCCAGCTTTGGTCGCCCGAAGCTCTCCAAATATCCCAAATCCACCTTTCTCAGCATCCAATTTGTCTGGCACCATCGTTTGAGCTGCTGGGGAAGAGAAGTTTCCACCAATGGTGGCATCTGATGGGCTTCTCATTATCCTCTCTGCTGTCTCCTCCTCTGCAGAACTACTCAGCAGTGAAATTAAAACATTTGTTAACTTCATTGCTCAGCAGTGACCCTAGGGTGACCATCTGGGAAGGGAGGCTGGGGTGTGCTGAGGAAAGGGCCGGGAGGGCGCAGTCAGTCGCCGGGTGGCCCTGCTCTCTGCTCTTCCTTCTAGAACCTCCTGGGGGCCTGTACCCGAGCCAGCACTCACAGAGGTTACCCCACCAGCCCCCTGCCTGCCTGGGGCTCCACAGCGGGGTGAGCTCTTTTCTGAACTAGCGTGTATCTGCCTAAACAGAAGGGTGTCACATAGCGCTACAGGCTGGGGTCCACTGATTGCTACCACGTAACAGAATGTGAAGTCATGAACCAAAACAGAGTTTTGTTCTTAAACCACACATTTGGAACTCCTTTGATTCTTGGAGTTAAAGGTACTTCAATAAATTGATATCAATACATAGTCACATGTGTTAGCGAAGCATTTTTAGCTGAGTAAAATATTTAAAGATGGGACAGTTTCCTTTCCCTCTATTAGATGTGAAAAAAACATTTAATCCTTCCCTTACACTCAAGTCTTTTCACTGAAATTTACTTATTTTCCCAACTGTTTGCCTACTGCGGTCAGGTTTATATGGGTTACACTATATGGTTTGCTCATGCCTCCCCTAAATGCTAACAGCAGTAATGACACAGACTGTAACAGCTCAACACCATCCCAGACACTGGGCACACCTGCCATCGACTTTAACCCAGGTCAGGTCTAGGAGGCATTACCATGACTAGTGAAATGAGCGTCAGAGAGGTGAGGTGGCCTGCCCGGCGTCGCACGGTGAGTAGGCAGAGTCGCCTGGAAGAAGCACTGGGCTCACTCCATCGACCTGGCACCCTTATCATCCGCTCCATCTCCCAGATTTTGAGTGTAACCAAACCCATTTACCCTGGACTCTACTGGACTTCCTACAATCAACATCACTTTGAACACTGTAGCCCCTAGAAGACCTGTAGCCTTGCCCTGGGTCTCAATGATTAGTAGAGACTGCTGCATAGTGGGTGCTTAATAAATGTTTAACTGAATGAAATTCCCTTGCCCTAAACCACTAGCCCTTCTATTTATGGCAGCATATCTTAGACTTGATAAGTAGCACAGAGGGGATCTGGAAAAACAACTTATTTTTAATCTCTTATAGACCTGCAAAATGAATTATATTAACTCACTTCTCAAGAGGGTCAGCCTACCCTGTCAGTGAACTCAGTTCACAAAACGCCAAGCTGCACTTCTTGACAAACCTCCAAAGCAGGGACTCAGTTGAAAACATTAGATTCACGTGGAAGATGAGACCTGTTTGCCTTTGAAACAAAGTTGAAGAACAAAAACATGCCACTACATCTTCAGCTTTGGGAGTCTTTCTTGAACTTTAGGTGAAAAGGAGATCAAACAGCAAAGAAATCAGTAGAAAAAGTTATCACCTTATTCTAGTGAAAAACTCACTTTGCTATACACACAATTAATTAAAAGCAGGGACATGGCTAGGAATAAAGAAATTAGAAGTCCTGGCGTAAAAGCTGAAAAACTCTGGGTTTACCTTTAAATAAAGATTTTACTAAGCCCAGCCAGAAAGCCTCTCAGGTCAGTACCTGCTTCTTCTAGTGGCTGGGGGCATTACACTGAGATACAGGCAGGCAGGAGACACGGCCCCATCCCAGGACCCTAGAGACTCCTCCGTAATGTTTTGGCTTTGGTTTCACACAATCCCAGCAGCCCAGCCTCTCCTCATGTTGCTGCAATCACTGCCCAGGGAATGGCTTTGCCACCTTTCATCATTTATCTCAGGAAATAAAATAATCAGGACACTGGTTCACGGTGTTCTCCCTAAACTCAGTCCAGGTCAGCCGCACACCCTGTATCTGTTCTTCAGAAAAAGAACAGGCTGTTCCACGTCAACCGGAACATCACTCACAAGCCTTAAAAATCAAGTCTCAAAATTACACATCTAAGGATAGATCATTTTTCCTGTTAAGCTACCTCAAATTATGCTATGATGATGAACCAAATAACCACCACTGCCAACAACAAAAAACACTCAAAGTTCTTTGGAAACTAAAAATTTGAGGGGGAACCCCCCAAAACCTGGAATTATCTGCTGGAGGTGGGCCCCTTGTAGTGCAGGCTTCCCTCACTGGGTGAGTGTTTCAGGAACCCATCTGTATCAGTGCACCAGCTGGCGTTATTGTGAGAGGCTGCATTCAGCTTCTGGGAATGTTTTTTGAAGACTCAAGGCCTCTGCCCATTTCATGATGGGGGATTTGCAAGCGCACTTGACCACCCTGCGTGGAGCGCTCCGTAGTTTTTGACCAAAAACAGCAGGACCCCTGTGCCCCACCCTCCCTACTCACCCAATCTGCCCCAAGGGACTTTCGTTTTTTTGTTTCCCTGGATAAAAAAAGTCCTCAGAGGGAAATGTTCTGCTAATGTGGAAGAGGTGAAACAAAAAACAGCAGACGCACTAAAAGGCATCAAAATCAACGAGTTCAAAAACTGTTTTGAGCCATGGGAAAAATGTGTCCATAGGAGAGTACTTTGAAGGTGACTGGACTTTAAATGTGTAAGAATAAATACACAACTTTTTATAAATAAATTCAGTGTTTTGTGGGTCCCCCCTCAGTTTAGCCAGCTCTACTAGCCTCTTGACCTTGAGCAACTTCATCTCTGTAAACCTTAATTTCCGAATTTGTAAAACGGGAATGTTATCCCCTGTATCATAGAATCATTGTGAAATTAAGATTATTTATATAAAACTCATACTAAAATGCCAAGCACATAAAAAGAGCTCAGGAGGTGGTGACTACTGTTGTATGTTATACATTAGTACAGCGTTTTTAGACTTAAGTTGACCTTGAAACTCCTTTTTCAACTAATGCCTTTTAATATCCTAGTGCCATGGCCAGGTCCCCCTACACGTGAGATGGTTTGCTGTTACTTTAGGCATGACTTGCAAGTTACATTTTCCAGTAGGTACCATTGCCCTCTTGGAATTAGCTTTCTGAATTGCAGGTGTGACATCTTGTACAAAGGCCCCAGTCTCGAGAACAACTGTTCAGTGGACATAAAACCCATCTGGAATGCTTGTTACAATGTACACCTCTAGCCTACATTTCCAGAGACTCTGATTTTTAGGTGGTGGTAGACTTGGAAATCTCCATCTTTAGTAAGTTCTCCATGGGCTGCTGTTTTGGTATCTCTAAATCACATTTTGTGAAGCACTGCTGGTAAACTGATGGCTTACAAAATTCTTATGTATGATGGCAGATGTCACAGTGTTTCTACTGACATCTCTAAAGCTTTTGAGGGGCCACTGAACACCCATTTTTCCCAAGTGTTATTCTTTGCTTACCCCTTGATTCAGCAAATATTCACTAAGCAACAGGCATGTGCCAGGCACTGAGCTGGTTGCTAGGAAAACATAAGACTGGATCCTTATCCTTCTAGAATGTCCTCTAACAGCAAAGGAATCCTGCCACATGTGTAATTTGGGCAGAAGTGTACACAGAAGTCACCAAACTATAGGGATCGCCTAACGCCTTCGGTGTTCAGCGTATGTAAGAACTGTTCTGCATTGTTCTACATTTCAGCTACAGTTGTAAAGGTTGTTTGGTAGGTTTTGTCTGTTGTTGTTTTTCTGCTTAGTTTACTGAATGTCAATCATACTTCAATAAAGCTAAAAGCAAGTCAAAAGAGAGAAAAGTGCAGGGTCTAAGTATAAAGCAGTATCTCCTTATCTTTATATTTATACAATTTAATTTAATCTTATGTTTTAAAGTGTTTTTTCTTTTTCCTTTCAGTGGTGGGAAGATCTGTTATGGAACGTAGAAGAATCAGTCTTAAATACAGCCACCAAATGGCCTGTGGCACTCCTCTGAGCTCTGAAACTGAGGACGCAGGCACATCAGCCTGCTATGATCACCGACAGGGATCCAGTGTTCTTTCAAAGCACTGTTAATGTTATTGCCATCAAAAGGTTAGGACAAGAATTGGGAGGGAAAAAATGTTAAATGAATCCATGTCTGTAAACATTTTTGAGTACCTGTTATGTGCCAGATACTTTTTGTGCCAGTGTTACGGAAAAAATGCATAAGACAGAGTTCAGTAAATACAGAGGTGTCACAATAATTTCAGGCTTGCGGATCTCAGGAAGGGTGTGGCTCTCTGTACCCAAACTTAAGTGGAGAGGAAGTCTCAAGACAGGAAATAAAGAGGTATGCCTGATGGATTGAACAGTTAAGAGAACATCCACATGCAAAAATATAAAACCATAATGTCTTTCAGTATAACTGGTAAAAAGCATACCAAAGATTTATGACTTGAAATTCCCCTAGGAGAGTCATCAGGGTTAGTTCAGTCTTGTAAATAGCTTATCTCTTAATAAAACAATTTAGAGCCAATGGGTGATTAACTATGGTTAAAATAAATACTTGACTTTGACTTCGTTTTTTAAAAATAAGTACTTTGCTATGTATCAGGAATATATTTAAATATTAGAAGGCATTTATTTATTGGATTCATAGTAACTAACAAAAACTAAATGCCTTCGGTGACATGGGCAACCTCCCAACACTGTCCCACCAATCAGGAGAAAGCCTGCAGGGGGCAGGGCGGCGGGGAGGGGGAGCAGGGGGAGAGTGGGAGGGTGTGCCCGGTAGCTCTGTGCTGGGAGAAAGGGGAGGCAAGGGGAGTTCCAAAGTGGCCACGGAGTCAACCTTGCAAGGTCCTGAGGAATTAGGTAGTGAGGGAGCCCCCAGGTGCGCCTCCCTGAGACACTGAAGGAAAAGGAAGGTCTGCTAAAAAATAGGGCATGATGACCATCTGGCAGTTTTCTGCCCGTTAATCCCTCAACATTTACACATACATGATAAAGCACATCATTTTTACCCAGCTGGGAGGCAGTATTAACTCAATTTATAAGAAAACAGCTCAAAGTCAATGGTTAGGTTTGAATTCTTGCTCAGGGTCTTACTAGCTCTGCAACCTTGGCCAAGTTACATCATTTCTTTGAGACAGTTTTCCCGTCCATAAAATGGGGCTAAAAAATAGTAAAACAGTATCTACCCTCAGTGATTTTTTTTTAAGTTTAAATGAGATAACGTATGTTCTAAACAAAGCACGGTAAATGTTCAATAAACTTTCACCATTATTATTTTGATGTCTGAAGATGGCCATTGTATTCCTAAACATCAGATGCAATTTATTATGGGAGTTTATATTACATTCTTTATATATCATGTGTTAAATTAAATATTTGTTGTTGTTTTATTTAATCCTTGATTAACTAGTGGGAATGGTACAGCGGCTGAAGAATCAAAACTGGTTGTAAGATGAAATTCACCTGGTAATCAAAATACAATTTCGTTTTGAAAGTATCTTCCCTAGTGTTTTTGCAAGACTGCCCTTTAGGGAATAAATGTAAAAAAAAAAAAATAGTTTGAAAAAATTGAGACTCTGGGGGATTTTGCCTTTTTATATTTCTCCCGTGTTTGGAAAGCAGATCTGGTACCCTGAGAACAGTAAACTAGGAAATAAAAACTCATGGTACCTACCTCCTTCTGTACACCTTTAATTTCTGAACATTCCTCTAGTTTTGTTAAAACATCCTGGGTATCCAAAAGTGCGTCTGAGAAGATGCTTTCATTTTCTAGAAGAAAATTCAGCTGGTATTTCCTCTCATCCTCTGAATGTTAAACAAAACAAAATTTAAAAAATCAGTGACTCATTACTTGAAATGATTTTTAAAAGCTTAAGTTATCCGAGAACCATTAGGTCATAGACTGCATTTATAATTGATGTCTAGAACATCAGTTATGGGCAGTAGAAAGAAAACAGGACCTCTAATATCCTCCTCTATGCCATCCTCATCCTGGCTGAAGTGATGGCTAAGTATCAAAAATGGTACACTGTTATTTCAATACTGCTTTTCTGCTCTGGAGTTCAGCTTCAGGCTTCCAACACTCAAAAACACAGACACTTTAAGACAAGAATGCCCCAGTAGGAGTAATGCATTGGATTTTGGTATCCTCTCTAAGAGTGGTCTTTGGTAAATTTATCAATGAAACAAACAATTCATAAAGATCACGGAATCCAGTTATTGATAAGAGGAGGACAGATTACAAAACGGCTCTTACATGAATATTACCTGGTTCTGCGCCTGCCTCCTTCGCCTCACCAAGGGCGTGTGTGACAGGTGAGGGGGAAGAGGCCGCTGCTGTCTGAGGAGTCTCCGCCGGGGCGGCCGCACCCCCCTGGACCTCCTGGGCAGGGGCAGGATCCACGCTCATCTCTTGTGCAACCAGGTGGATGGCTTCCTGGGTCTCGACTTTCACCGGCGCGGAACCCTCTGGGGCAGAAGGAAGCTCTCCTGCACCCTCTGAGGGAAGGATTTCTACCTCCGGCTTCTCCGGCTCCTCCCTGAACGGCTCAGAGGACGGCACGGAGACATCCCTCACCACCTGCCCCTGCACAGAGCAGCTGACGAGGCTGGTCAGGAGATTCTTACAACTAACAGCCACGTCGAACATCTGGAGGCTGTCGGCTAAAGAGATGATTTTGGAGAAGTTGTGCTTGCCCACAGGTAGCTTGCCAGTGTACATCATTTCTAACAAGAGGGCGAACTCCTCGGGGCTCACCACGGACGCGTCGATGGAGATTGTGTCTGTGTTGTCCAGCAGGGTTTTGAACAGGAGGCTGGCGGCAGCCAGGACCAGTTTGTGGGCCCTGAAGTAAATGGTGCCAATGGAAATGGTGCAGTCGCAGAACTGCTGCTCCTTGCACAGCGTGTAGAGCTGTTGCAGCAGCTGCCGGCTGTAGTTGGGGAGCTCCATGGCACCAGCTCTGCCCTGAGGACGTCTCTTCCTCTCTTCTTCCAGAACCCACTTTGTGAGGATCGGCACTTAGATCCTAGAGAACCCCGAAAAGGGCTGCGTTAATGCTTCACAACATGCAGGGAAATGCCTTGGATAAGATATTAAAACAAACCAACAAAAAGGGCAATTCACTCATTCATTTACCAAATGTTGCTTAATATGGAGGGGCACGGTGCCAGGTATACAGAATTAATAATGCTGGTAATAACTGTCATGTGTTTAACTAGATCAGGACTATGCTTAGTGCTTCATCTGGATGATCCCATTTAATCCTCACGACGACTCTATGGAAAAGATACTATATCCTCCCCATTTTACAGGTGAGACTGAAATGCAAAGGGGCCAAGAGAAGCAGCTTAAGGGAAAATAGCCGTTGAATGGCATGCCCATACCTCACTGCTTTTGACGCTGCAAGTAACTACACTGCTGGATGCAGTCCTGCTCCCAACTAGTTCTCAGCCAAACGAAGGAGACAGATTTATAAACAGAGACTCGTAACACAATGTCCTCACCTTACTCTACCTGCCTGCAACACTGTACACAAGTCACCCCCCGACCCCCCACCCCCGCTAAAAGGCACTTCCGCCTGCCCCTGCGCTCTTTGGTTCTCCGACTGCCTCGCTGGCCTTCTCAGTCTCCCTGGGTGAGGCGCCCTCTGCATCGCTTTGGCCTCTGAGGTCTGGGCTGCTCCAGGACTCGGTCATCACGCCCTCTATCTTCGCTCTCACCTGATGCGGTGACTGTGAAATCTCTAAATGCTGACAGCTTTGGGGCTTGTGCCTCCGCCTCGGACCTCTCCGCGGAACTCCAGGCGCACGCCGCCAGCGATGCCCTCAGCATCTCCAGCCGGAGGCCGCACAGGTTTCCTGAACTTGCTTCTAAAACTCTCCTGCCGTCTTCCCCCCTTCACAGCAATGCTGTCCTTCTAGTTGTTCAGGCTGAAAACCTAGAAGTCATCCTTGTCTCCTGTTTCCTTTTCATATCCCTTATCCAGTCTTTATAAATCCTGTTGGCTATTCCTTCAAAGTACATCCAAAATCCAATCGCTCATCACCACTTCCACTGGCTCTACTATGGCCGGTCCAAGCCCCCATCCCCTTTTATATGGATATAGCAACAATGTCCTAACTGGTTTCCACACCTCCGTCCTATCCTGGCGTTACCCCTGCCCTACTGTCTTCAACCCAGTAGTGAGAGTGAACTTTTTAGCCCATAGCCATAGCTTGTCATTTCTTTGCAAAAAGCCTCTATAGTTTCTGGTCTCACAGTAAAAGCTAAAGCCCAAGTTCTTACCATAGCCTACGAGCCCATGGCGATCTGGCTGTCACTAGCTCTCTGAGATTGTCTACCACTCCCCCTACTCACCAGTGCGGCTCTAAGCACACTGCCTTCCTCGCCGATTCTGGAGCACCCTGGGCAAGCCCCTACTCAAGGTTTCTTCACCCACGCACACGGCTCCCTCTCTCATTTCCTCCAGGTCTCTGCTCACAGGCCACGTTACTGGGGAGGCCTTCTCTGACCATGTCCTTTGAATCCCAACCTCCTCTCCAACCTCAGAACATCCCATCCCTCTTAGGCTATTTTTCACGGTAATATTTAACACTTACTGACATATTTTTACTCTTCATTATGTAAGGTCTATTATGGAAGGAAGTCTTTTTAATTTTCTTTCTCATTTACTATATCCCAGTACTTAAAATTCTGCCTAACACAAATATTGTTGGTTAGTTGGTGAAATGAATAAATGAATGGAAGAAAATGTAATGATAGATATTTGCACCTAGAAACCCAGCTTAGGGAACAGGAAAGTGCAGGAGTAAAGTTTTGAGTAGGACCTAACAGCTGACCTGTCAGGTAAGAGAGTAAGTATTGATGAGGTGAAAAGAGTAGGAGAACAAAGGCATTCCTCCGGGGAAGCCTCCACGAGGCACACGGGTAAGAAAACACCAGGGCTGGGGAGGCGGTTAGAAGCTCAGTGACCGTGGAAAAGCAGGGACAAGGAGTGTCAGAGGAAGAGTCCGCAGAGGCGGGCCGGGGCTCCGGCCACAGAGAGGGACCGGAGCTGGGGCTCATCCCCAGGGCGACGGGGGACCACTGAAGGGCCCGAGGGGCTTTCCGCAGGCGAGTCACATGGTCAAACATATGCTTTAAACATCTCATCCAACGGAGATTTGTCAGAATTTGAGGGGGATAATGCTAAAGACGGGCTCTATTATTGCAGGACTTCAGGGGAAAAAGAAAAAAAATCAGTGAGGGCTCTGACCAGGAGAAGTGGGAACAGAAGAGAGAGCTAAAACTATTTAGAAAGCCTAACTGTCATCATTTAGGGTCTGAGTCGGTGTGACTCCCAGGTTCCTGGTTTGGTGAGTGGGGATGGACGGTGAGGTGATCCCTATCGGGAAAAAGCCACTTTCTCAGGCCCTCTTCCCCAGAGCTGGCTGGACCCCCATAAAGCATGACTGACCCTAATCACTTTATGAGCCCTTATCCTCAGGACCAGAAAATTCCTGGAAGCACCCTGAAGGCTCAGATGCTCCAGGAACTTGTGAAACAGGACAGACCAAACCACAACTGACCACCGGACCCTGAACCCAAAGATACATCGGACCCTGAACGCAAAGATACATCGAAACAAGCTGCAGCTCAACTGAACACCCTGCTCTACAACTGCCCATCACTGGTAAAACTCACAGCCCCGGCCCCTCAGGGTCTGCGCTGGTGCATGTCTGCGCACGCAGCCCTCTCCCCCGTCTGGGAAAGGAAAATAAAACCATCACTCTCTGCACTTCCTTCTCTTTGTGAATTCTTTCACAGCCTGCGTCACTGACCACCCTAACAATCTAGATAATACAAGAAAAAAGGTAATTTAGGGAAGGTGACATCTAGTTAAGCTTTGAGTTTGAAGATCTTATCATGACAACAAAATTGTCTAATCCCGCTTGTATAAAGCAAAAAATACAGTAAAAAGAAAAAACGTTAGAAAGACACATGTCAGAACAACACTGGTTGCCTTGTTAGCAGGATTATGGATAATGCCCTGTCTACTCCACCATTATTTCTTTATTTTCTACATTTGGAACTGACAGCTAAAAATAGAAATAGAATACTTCCAAGTTCCAGTTTCCCGTCAGTCTTGTAAGGAGTTTAATTAAAAGTCACTATTTTGTCCTGACAACAAGTAAAAAGCTAAACAAACTGAAAAATCAACAACTCTTCTTAGATCAGAGAAGTGAGGTCACAGGGCAAAACTGCTGCCCCCAAAACTGAAGAGGCAGAGAGGCAGGCACAGAGAATCACTGCTCCTCAGAGCAGGGACCCACCAGCAGATGCCCCCGCGGGAGCCGGGGCCCCAAGGGAGAAAGACACGGAAATGGGCAAACCGCTGCAGGCTCAGCGTGGACAAGTCTACAGGTTAAAAATCCCAGAGAGGCCGAGTCATAGTTTTATGAGTTTTACCTCCAGGAGCTTTACTGGGTTCTCATAGCAAATATTGGAGAAAAACTCCCTCCTGCTTCGGGGAGGGGAATGGGAAAAGCATCCTTTTTTTTTTTTTTTTTTTTTTTTTTAAGTATACCAGAGCATTCTGTTCTTCTTAACAACGCCTACCCTCAGGAGAAACTATATTACCAGAGCCTAACTTAATTGGGAGAAAGGAAATACCCAACTTCTGCCCATTCTGGACGTCCTGTACCATCTAGGAGTAGGGGTGACTGAGAAACGTCGGTGAAGTTCACAGTCCAGAAGCACATGCTCACCGAAGACAGAGACCTAACCATCGGTCTAGAAAACACTGCTGCCTCCCACATCTGCCACCCCATTGCTGGAGGCCTATTTACCACAGTCCTTTTTACCCAGTCTGTTAAGGTCTACCTTTCATAAAAAATTACAAGGCATACTAAAGGCAAAAAATTAAAAAAAATTTTTGAAGAGACTGAGCATGCATCTGAATCACAGTCAGATATGTCAGGAACTATTCAGACCAGGAATTTTTTAAAACCATGATTCATATGCTAAGGGCTTTAATGGAAAAAGTAGACAACATGCAAGAACAGATGGTCAATATAAACAGAGAGATGGAAATTCTAAGAAAGAAGGAAAAAGAAATGCCAGAGATCAAAAACACCGTAACAGAAATGAGGAATGCCTTTGATGTGTTCATTAGTGGACAGGATACAGCTGAGGAAAGAACCTCTGAGCTTGAGGACGTGGCAATAGATCCTTCCCAAATTAAAAAGCAACATGAAAAAAAACCTAAAACACACACACACACACACACACACGCGCGCGCGCGCGCCCAGGGCAGAATATCCAAGAATTGGGAGAGAACTACAAATGGCAAAACATACATGCAATGAGAATATATAAAGGAGGAGAAAGAGAGAAGGAACAGCAAAATATTAGCGAATCAATCCCAACAATATAGAAAAAGAATTATACACCATGCCTGGGTGGGATTTATCCCAGGTATCCAAAGCTGGTCCAACATCTGAAAATCAATAAATGTAATCCCATGTCAACAGGCTAAAGAAACTGTAACAATAACAGGCTAATGATTACAGAAGCAGATGCAGAAAAAGCATTTGAAAAAATCCATCATCTATTCATGATAAAAACTCTCAGCACACTGGGAATAAAAGAAAACTCCCTCAACTTGATAAAGAACATTCTACTAAAAAGAACCTACAGCTGACATTATACTTCATAGTGAGCAACCTGAAGACTTCCTGTTAAGATCAGAAACCAGGCAAGGATGTTTTCTCCCCCCCAGTGCTTCCCAACACTGAACTGGAAGTCCTAGCTAATGCAGGGAGACAAGAGCAAACAAAATGTACGAATAAAACAGCCTTTGTTCACAGATACTGTGATTGTCTATCTAGAAAATCTGAAAGAATCAACAAAAAACCCGATAAACTATGAGAGCAAGGTAAATACACAAAAATTAATAGGTTCTCTATATATCAGCAATTAACAAGCAGCATTTGAAATTCAAACATAACTATTTTATTAGTGCCCAAAAAAGTAATTAAAAATGAA